ATAAAAATAATAAAATAATATTAGAAAATTTTATATTAATATAAAAAATTCAAAGTAAAAAATTTAATATATTTTTCTTTATTTTTTTTAATATTTTTATCTTTTAAAAAAGTAATATTTACTTTTATATATTTTTCATTTCTCTGAAATTTTCACTTTTTATTTTATTGAATTACTTTATATTCTGCTTTTATAAATTTCTTTATAGCTTTATTACAAAAAATTTTACTTTATAAAAAATATTTCTTTTTATATTATAAATAATTTTAGTAAAGATTAATATAGAACTTAAATATCTTACTTTATTATTATTTTTCTTATTGTTTTATTTTCTCTCTTTTTTCAATACTTATTCATATTTATAAGCTAATTTACTAATTAGTGAACAAATAAATATATAAGTGAAGCATATATCTTTCTAACTATATAACTAACAATATCAAACTTTATTTTTGTTACTTGAATAATTTTTTATAGTGTGGATCATGTGATATTTTTTGATGATTTAATAATAATACAAAAATTCAAAACAAATATATATTTTAGAAAAAAACTTGTATATTATAATCTAATCTAAAAATTATTTTTTGTATTATAACAAAAATGTTTTTTATAAAATTTTTTATATTTGTTTGACAAATAAGCATGATCCAGATCCAGATTCTAGTTCTTTTTGCATTGTTGACATCATCAACAAATTATCATGTGATCTGTTTTTAGGAATCTTTCTGATAGTTATTTTTGCTAGGCTTAATTGATTTTGAATATTATAAATTTTGCGATATCTCGATATAATAGCAAAAACAAATTTCGATTTAAAAAAATTGTAACTACTTTCATTTTAATTTGATAGAACTGAATGTTTGATCTTGATAGTAAACATAAAATAGTTATTACTGTGTTTTGAGTTAAATTCATTTTAAGTATTTATAATCATAAGGTAAAGGAGGGTATTGTGACGACGAAATTAATATTAAAATTAGGAAAACTCTTTTATAAACAACAAATATTTGGAAAATTTATTATGACTAAAAAGCATAATTAATTCTACATAAATCTAGTAAAAATATGATGACATTACAAATAATATATAGAACAAAATTGACATTTTTTAAAATTTTAGTTGTGTGGGTATTATGACGAACTAAAGTAAAAATATGTGTTATCTCGATCACTAGGGATCGAGATATTGCCCCCCGAAATTCACCGAACGCGGATCGTCACCCGAAATTTTATTTTTCTTGTATACGGTGACTTTCGGTGGCGATATCTCGATCTTCAGTGATCGAGATATCGCTCTTTCGTCATAATACCCTCCTTCGCAATAATACCCTCACTTACCTTATATAACAAAAAAACAATCATAGTTTTCTGATTGATCTGATGGAAAATATCGATACACCAAAAAATAAAAGTAAAACTTTTTTTAATTAAATTATTAAAAGTATGTTTTAATCTAATTGTTTGTACTATTTTTATTCTTTTTTATCTTTAATAAAATTTTAGATAAGACAAAACTTTTGAATTTTTTAAAAAAATAGATTTTTAATATTTTCTTATGAATATGCAATTTTATAAATTTGCATTAAGCAAGTGCATTAATATATATTTGATAAATATATATTTTAAAGTTAGCCAAATTGAATCACCAGTTATTGAGAAATTAAGCTTTAAAGTCTAAACTTTGCTTTTTTTACTATAAAAATTTATAAAAAATGATTATAAATTATTATATAAAAAAATCAAAATAATTAAATTCAAAAAGTTATTAATTAATAAAATTTTTTATTATATAATAAAAAAATTATATAAACATATTAATTATAATCTAAATACTAAATTCGATAAAAAATAAAAATTTTAAAAGTAAATAAATTTTTTATTAATCACAAAGTGGCGTATCAACATTTTTGCACCGGACCATACATGTATACCTAATAATTTTTATTTAGGAGGAAACAATATGAACATCAATAAAACCACTAGGAATTTGGAATTCCTTTATAGTTCCACCAAAAAAAACACTAGTACGTATATCAACTCTTTTCTAAGTTGGCCGTAACGATAACGATAACTATTCGCTACATACAAATTCGTTATAGATCACTTTGACTGTATATTAATTTTCATTTATCGCATACGTTTGCGAAATTGTCGTAAGTTATTAGTATAGCAATTGAGTATACTATAAATTACATTAGATTGAAATTCAATAAGCATATACATATTTAAATACATATAAAATATATAAGCTATATATTATACACATACATACCGTTAATTAAATTATAATATCGATATACTTTGAATAAAAGTTACAAAAATTTTTACCTTGACAGTGGTCTTCTTACCTGTTCCATTTTTGACAAAACAACAATAATAATGACTTCCTTTAATTATTCGTTAAAAAAGCAAAGACTTAGTTATAACTGGTCTGCACTCATGGTAGCTTTGCTCACACTCGAAATCATTATCCAAATATTATTGTTAAAATCAAATTTAGCGTCTGAATTAGTGCCGCTGAATCGCGACTAATTTATGGCATTATTCCATTCCTTTCATAATTTAGCATAAAACAATGGTTTCAACACTATTTCAGATCTTTTGCTTGCGATATAAAATAGAAAATTTTAATATTACAGTATTCACAAATGGAAATTGCCAAGTACAACAATTTTAGGTACCAAATTTGTTGTTATTTATTTCAAATTTTAGTTCTACATATTGTCGAAAAATCGATTATTTTATAAATCGAGTAATACAACACTAAATCAAACGCTTTCAATATACTCTACTTAAAAAAATCTTTTATTTAAAAAGCCAGAACTGAATGAATGATAAAGAATGAAGCCTTGAAGTCTGTATTTTTTATTTAATCAAAACCCGTTTTAAAAGTATAATGCAAAAAATTATTTATTAATCTTAAATTCCAGAGATAATTTTAGCCTTAGATCTTATAAACTCCAACTTTTATAATATCGTGTTGACTGTAGATGAGAAGAAAAACCTTTAATTAGAGACACAAATAAATTAATCAAGTTTGTAATGCCTAATATTGCTCCTAGAAGTTCAAAAGTGTGCTGAAGTATAATTTCCGCTTAGAGCTAATTGAAATTAATTTAAGTTCTAGATATTTTATAATTTAATATAATATATTGCAAACAAGTTTTATTAATAACATATCTTATTTCTAAAATTCTCAAATATTTAATTTTAATTTGATATAATGCTATAAAAAATTTTCTTTTTTGGCTTTTTTAACACTTTAAGCTACTAAGTTGTCTTAAAAAACTATCATTTAGATTTAATTTACTTAGTTTCATTTATAGTGTACTATCAGGATTCGATCAGATAATTGGAAGTACATGTAATTACAACAAGATATTCTATAAAATAGTCTTAAGTAAACTTGATCACAATATGTGAAACCGTATTTCTGCAAATTTTCATATACTTTTGATTTTTTCATAACACGATAAAGAAAAACAGCATTCTCATTATATAGTGAAATATCAAAGTATTTCTCACAAAGATTTGTTAATAGAAATTTGCACAAATATGAATAGCTACTGTTTTAATTCATCTGATCAAGTCTACGCTCACACAAAATGACTTGAACCTGGAAGAGAGTGAAGTTTTGGGAAAAGCCGTTTTGGTAATTGTGCTAACTTCTAATTCAAATGAAACAAATCTTTCTATTCACATCGAACAAACGTCTTGAATTACCAATCATAATCGTTTCTTTCATATTGTACAAAAAAAGCAGAATGGATAAAATACATATTTTGTAATTTTTCTATTGAAGTCATTGTCTATTTACATATTCCTTTAAGAACGCTAATTAGGAAGTTGGCGTTCATAGTTTATGGGCTATTTTTCGGAAAACCTTACAACCGAATTCAAATCATTCTTATAAATTGTCGTTTTGAGCCTGGTCTAGTAATTAATGAATCAGTTTATTTTTGATATTGAAAAATATGAAGTATTTCAACCACGTTTTATGTCACTTGATTTTATATTTGCAATCAAAATAATTCATTAACAATAACAACATCCAACATTAGATTTGGTATTCATTTCCCACTATCGCTATCGTTATGGTTGTTAAGCTTTAATATTAAAATCATCTCGACTTTTGTGACTAGAAGTCTGACTTCCTTTTCATTATTGCTTCGTTTTTCATTATTACTGAAACTTTAAAATTCCTTTAAACTTTGATTGTAGAGCAATTCATTTATCAAGATTATGTATGTACATGTATATCGATATCATTGTAACGGTAAACGAATGCACATATCATACATTTACAGAGAGGTTTGACAAAAAAACTAATATCTGAATCGCATGATATTAAAAAAAGCCAATTATGTCAAATCTCAAGATTTATTTGAGATCGCTGACAAATACTTGATTGCTGATTTACGACAACACGCGAAAGTGAAATATTCAAAGATCTAAACGAAGACAACACAGCTGGTCTATTATTCGGTGCAGCGTGGAGATGGCCGGACTTAAAGAACATGTGTTGAAATACATGGTGGAGAATTTCAAGTCCGTACGAAAGACACCTGCATTCAAAAATGCAATCTTGAATCCTAGTTCTCATCCTCACTCTGGTGAACTTTTTCATTGAAGTGCTCGAAATTTTAGATCCTTGATTAATAAATACATGTACATGTAATTTTATTCAATGGACTTGCTTATATTCTCGATCTTCCGGTAACATGTATCAATACGATTATTAATTGAGTAAAGATCACACACACACATTTGTGTGCGTGTGTTTATGTGTTTGGTATCACAAATGGCTACGTAAATAGCAACAGCAACAACAACAGCAACAACAACAACAACAGCAACAGAACAACAAACAACAAACATCATCAAACATCAGCTTATAGTGTGTGCTTGTAATAAAATACGAAACAAAAAAAAAAAGAAGAAAAAATTCTTTGTTGAAGTGTTCCAAAAAAATATAATATTCGTACATATTTTTTAGAATGTCAAAATTCATCGCGACTAATGGGACACACAGTATAATGGAACCAGAAGCTGGTCCGAGTAAAAGCAATAAGAGCAGCAAAAGTAAAAATCACAAAAATCGAAACAACCACCATCAGAATAACGAGATTCCTATGAATATAGATAGCGGCGGCGGCAATGCTGTCACGGACGATAAACGAAGACTTGCACTTGAACGAATTGAAAATCAAGAGATGGAATATCGAAAGGTAAATTTAATAACCATTTCATCACACTAAGTTTCCTTCGTAAATGAATAGAAAAATCGAACATTTTTTTAATTTTTCAGTTAGCACAAGCAATCACCAAAATGGCGGATTGTCAACGTGAATTATACCAGACGATTGAATCGATAAATGACGATAAAGTGTCCGAAGTATTCGCACAACTATTCGCACAGTTACCAAACGATGATATCAGCAACAATATCTATACAGGAATTCCTCAATATAACCTCATAAATAATAAAAAGATGATATTACCCCAAATTTCATCAATTTCTTCGTTTTCAAAAAATAATGCTTCGAATGATACCGCTATTAATATTAGTAAAGAAGTTGTAAAAGTACCATTTTGGCCTTTGCCCGATTCACAACCACCACCACAAATTTATCATCCCAATCCTGTATCACAGCCAATCACGAACACAAAAATTGAAGTGGATCATGGTAATAATAACGATAGCGATGACGATATACCATCATCTCCAAACACACCTATCTCAGAATACTGCAATTCCCCAAAAAATGAAATAAACAAACTACACGCAACATCATCCTCCTCGAAATTTCCCAGTTACTCTAAGCGATATCGAAGAAGTCGACCAGACAAACGCGAGAAATGGAATTTAACACAACGACAATGGTTGACACGTGAATTCCGTGCACACTACGAACGACGCGTAAGACTTGACGATAACGTCACCAAAAAAGGTGTCGCTTACGAGTTGGAGCAATTGATTCACGGGCGACCGGAAATTCATGTCTATCAGTGTGTGAGATCTTATTTAACCGGTCGTACGTCGATTACTAATCTTGAGGTTCTGTATGCGATTGAAAAGTGGATTAAAACGGAAATTGCACATTGGGGTGAATTGTCAGAAGAGGATTTTTGGTTTGATTAGGTTTAGAATTATTTGTGCGTTTAATTTTTACGATATACATATATTTTAAAAAATATTTTTTTCTCAACTATGATTTTTAATTTCTGGATACAAATTAATCTAATAAATATTTCGTTTAATAAATTGTAGTATTTGTCCAGACCGTCAACGAGACTATCGCTATTGAAGTCGCAGCCACAAATTTACTCGAACCAATTGTCTATGAATTAAATCAACTGATTAAATAAAAAATAATCTACTGCTACACAGCTACTATTTAAACTTTACGATAATCAATATAGATTTGAAATATTTTACGAAAGGTAACGATAAGATACGTGTATTGGCATAGCGCCATAACTATACATCAATAAGACATAAATATTTCACTTACGCATCCCTGGTTGTATTCTCTTTCAGTACTATTAGCTATCTTGAATCTTAGTTTCATAATGAGAAGTTTCACGAATTTAGATTCTTAAAAGATTTTTATTATTCAGTTTTTAATCGAATTTTAAGAATATATATTATCGTTATTATTAGCTATTTAAATTTAGCGTTAAACGATTACCGTATAATACTGACTACAGTACCCCCCCTGAGATAGTATCCCCCCATTTTGCTGATAAGCAATTTGCGGCCTAATTTTTATAAGCAGTGTTTGGTTTTTTCTATGGATCTATTGTGTTTAATAGCAAGATAACCCACCAATTAGTAACAAATTTTCATATATTTCTCTCGCCATTCTGTATCTGGGGGGACTATTCACGTTCTAGGGGGGTTTTTTGAATAAGACTGGGGGTACTGTAGTCAGCGCTATACGGTACCTAGTCTCCATATCAATGCCGGATCTGTTTTAACTAATAAGGGTAGCAGGTTTGAAAATTTGCAAAAACTAGCCAGCATTACGATAAGACTGTTTGATTGTTTAACGTACCAAATACATGTAACGATAACGATAACATTAAACAGGATTAAATATCACGTGTAAATTTTATCCAATTGAAATTTAGCATTCTAGCACAGCATTTTAAGTCAGAATGGCGATTTTTATAGCGATAGGATCTTTCTCGTAATTTAAGGTTTTTCTTAAAAAGGAGGCAAACAAATGCCATTTATGTTTTACTAGTCAAGATCAAACTACATGTACAAAGATATTTTAATTTGTAACAGTTCTTCGAGAAAGTAAAACACCAATTCTGATATTATCTGGCCAGCTTTTCGTAAACGATAGGATGTTGTTATATTGTGGTGAATCAGAACTTGAAGAAATGTCTGCTGCTTGGAAAAACATAAACCCATTATGTGTTTATCGCAAGGATAATGATATAAACGGGGACGAATTCTAATAAGAGGAAGAGGAATGTGGATGAAATGGAGCAACCGTAGTTGATTTGTATTACATAAAATATAGATTATAACTTTATTAACTTGTCATTAGGAAACTTCAAATCTTATTAATTAGCTTATCACCAATAAAATTGCATTGTTTTGTTTTTTGCCCCCTGCCCACCTTGATTTTTCAAAAAAAGGATGTTAAACAACTATTAGCAGTCTAACGATATAGTTCAACTCCGTTAAACCTTAAAAACCTGCATAAACAGAACTTGGCTCCAGAAACAGTTATCGTGTAGTAAACCCGCCCGATAAATTGAAGTTGGTTCAAGACCAGTTATAGTAACCTTGCTTCGATAAACCGATAAACTGAATTTTTAAATTTTCTGACCACTTCGATTTAATGGGATGGGATTGACTGTAAAATGTTTTTTCGCAATAATTTTATGATTCCGGTTATGCATGAAATGTTTAATTCTGGTAGGTACTATGCGAAAGTAAAACACTCATCATTATAACTTCTCCGAAAAAGAATGTTTACTACATAATCGATAATATTGTCAATTTTAAATTTCATATGGTCTAAAGTTTGTATTTTATAAAATGTATAAATTTCTTTACTAAGAAGTAAATGCAAAATTTAATCCGTGGATATGCTCAGAAAAGCCTATTCTATCATATTCACGGATTAAATTTTGTATTTACTTTTTAGTAAAGAAATTTATACATTTTATAAAATACAAACTTTTGATGACTTTAGATTTTATGCACCATATACGCGTGTATTTTAACATATGGAGTCAGTAGAAAAGGAACCAATTACTGTCCCTTTTCTGCTGACTCCGCACCATATATTCTTATCGTTATGTTTAAAATCACAGGAGAATCTCTGTTTATAGGACTCAAAGTAGATACATAAACTGGATATTAGCTATTGAAATATAACGGTTATTTTACTTTGAGATTTAACAGTAAATCACAGTTGGACTCTAACAAGCCAAAACAATAAACTGGATATGCTGTTAATTCATTTAATAAGTATAAAGTAAATGCAGTTAACATTTTCTTTTGGTGACAAGAATGTTGTTAGGGTTGTTAATGGCGTGAGTGGCGTGGAGTGGAGTGAACTGGATTCATATTATAGTGGAGCAAGGGGTCAATTAA